ATTTTTCTTTAAATGTTGCAATAAAAAAAAAACATTGTTTGACTCGGATAAATTGTATGGGGTATGTCACGTGATGGTAGTCAGCACAGTAAGAATGACAAATACAACAACGACAGTGGTTTGAATGACTAGTACGACAACTACAGTAGTTTGGATGACTAGTAAAACCTCTATTTTTGTTCTATTGGTACTAACTGATGAAATTGAAAGTACACAGTACCACTATGATAGTTAATAATTGCTTCTGAATGCAAGACGCAGAAACATAAGAATCGGTTGTGTTTAATTTTGCTCTACTGTTGTGGTAGTATCCTTTTGTGATCTTAAATATTGGATTTACTAAAGTTTTTTGTAACAATGGGTAGGCAATCTCAAACTCGACATGTGACTGTATTCATGTGATCCTGATCACGTGTATCTTTAATGAATGCTATTGTTAAAAAAATAATTCTCCGCTTTTATTCGGCTTAGCAATACTAACAACAGGGAAGGTTGGCATTTATAAAGATTATTCATATTTGTTCTAACTGTCTCATATTCGCCGTCCCGATAGTTGTTAATTAAATTTTCCATGGATAAAAAGAAAAAAGGAATTAAGTCGTCGGTTACGTAACTCTGCTAAGTGAATACTAAATCCAATCATAATGTTTTATGCCATGACGAATAACCAGTATTGTCATCTGTGATTTTGTAGGGCTTATTGGTTATTTTATAATCTTTCCATTGTAGAAAGGTTTTATATTAAAAAATTCACCAAATTTCTACAAAAAACATAATTGCCGCATCCAAAGCCTTAATATAAATTTATTACTTTTCAAAGCCTCTTTAAAGGTTGTCCATTCAATAGTGATGTCATATATTACCGATAACTTATAAAAAAGGATTCAATAAACAATCAACCTTCATCATCTGCGTTTTCTCCCCCATAAAAGAAACAAAAACTAAAAACTAAAAATTAGAAATTAAAAATTTAAAGAATGGAACCTAATCCTGATTGGCCCTGTGCCAAGATATCGTTAATAAAAAATTGACATCGACAAGAACAAAAACTGGAAAAGTTGCAAAACTCAACCATTGATCAATTATTGAAAACCCTTGGGTATAAGATGACGTACAGAAGACCGTCTCTCCGTCTGTCTAACCAACCAACCAACCAACCAATGCTTGTGCAAGAAGAACGTACGGCATAGACACACCACTTGTATTCCCTCTCCCTAAATTTAAATTTAATTTTATAATTTTCAGCCAATCATAGATTTTTATTTCAACTCGGAATTTGATGTGCAATTGTTTAAGCCATCTCGCATTATTGACAAAACTGTTTAATTATGCATTCTAAGAACTAACACAATAAAGTGACCAATTAATTTTGACTTGAATGATTATTTATTTTAGTGGTCTAATTTAGTTTTGTATAAAAATTTTTTCTTTTTTTTATTGCATACTGATTGTTTTTATCTAATCCATCACATTGGGGGTGAGAGAGACAGAGAGACAATACAATAGACAATAAATAAATTACAATTTCACGTCTTCTTCTTTTTTTGATTTTTTGTAAGTTGATTCTTTCTTTTGGTTAATATCAAAGACAAGTCATTATGGTTTCTTTCAAGTCTTTAATCACCTTGGCTATTGCTGCCACCTCTGTTTCTGCTTTCAACTTGTTACATGATGAAGAAGGTTACGCAATCTTACCTCCAACTGAACTTGTTTTGGACAAATTAAAGGAAGTTGGTAAAAAAGAAATCACCACTCATTACGATGTTGTTAACACTATCCTGGATGATGGTGAAATTGTTGCTGTTAATGTCCACAACCATGATGTTAAGAGATCTGGTAAATTCAAGAGAGATTATGACAACTCTGTTTACTACCAATACAACAAAAAACAATTGTTTATTAGAACTATTGAAGATGGTTCTTTGACTCAATGTTTGAACAAAGAATTCGAAGCTGAAACCAGTCAATGTGGTTTTGACTTCATTGAATATAATGATGCCACTAGTTGCTCTTCTGAAGCCACTAAATACAGTTGTCTTTTGGATGTCATGAAACAACAAGATGCTACCTTGAAGTTGAAAGATATGGATGACGTTCCAGCTCAAGTCAGATGTTACCACAAATTAAGTGACGCTAGTGCTAAAGAAGTCGTCAACGGTGCTTGTGCTAAATAAATAGTTTAGTCTGTTGCCGTTGTGAGTAATTCGTAGTTGAATATATTCGTGACTTTGCTTCTATTTACAATTAATTAAATAATGATAATATATAAAACTATACAAGTTTGAAGGTATTTACAGATATTTTTGTCCCTTTCTTTTTATTTGTGATACTCTCTCTCTCTCCTTAGATTGCAACATCACCAATATCAATTATACCTTCAAATTTATAATCTTTATCACTTGGAACTCCAACTTGTTCACCCTTTTCATTGATTGGAGAGTACAAGTAGTAGCTCAATAATGCATTAACAGTAGCTCTAGTTTCAGCTTCTTTTAAGGACCCACCAATACCTTCACCTAATTTTTCACTACCAACAAAAACACCAGCTAAAAATTGTGGATGAGCTGATAATCTACCAGTTTCAGCAATTAATCTGATAGAAACAGGTTCTTTGAATTCTAATTTATCACATAATCTAACTAATTCCTTAACTGGTTGGTTGAATTGGAACATTTGATCCAATGGAACTTTTCTAGATAATATATGATCTTTTATAAATTCTTTAGCAGCAGATTCACCACAATGAGTGTATAAACCACCAATAACAGCAGTAGTAACAGTAGAATATGCCATATCTTCAGGAGTAACAACACCTTCATTGTTGATAACTTCTACAACACCATCAACTTTAGCATTTCCTTTACTATAAAAATTATCTGATTTTTCATTCTCACTCAAATATCTTAATCTACCAAACTTCATAAATTCAGATTCTTTACCTAAAAATCTATCCAATTTACTAATAGAATCAACTTCAATACCCCAAGATTTAGAAATTTCCAGTAATGCTTGAGAACCCATTAATGAATCAACAGCAGCATTATGAATAGCTGTTGGTAATCTTGGATAAGTCAATAATAAATATTCAGTAACATAATAAGTCAACAAAGATTTACCCAATACTTTTAATCCAAAATTATTAGCTAATCCATCTGATTCATCTGGGTTACTGATCAAATTAAGACATTGTGATAATGTTGATAATTTAAATGATTCCGGTAAATTCAATCGATTATGTAATGCAACTAATGGTGGACATTGTTTTGCTGACGATTCTGGTAATCTATGAGTGAATATATTATGTTTATAACTTGAATAATCATCTACTTTATTAAATGTAGTCTTTAAAAATCCATTTGATTTAGGAATATTTGAATTTAAAGTAGATGATTGTGAATCAGTGGTTGTGTTAGTGGTTGAAGCCAAAGAACGAATTGATGAATAAACTTGATTAGATCTTAATACTTTAGATATTTGCGATTTTCCGCAAGTTCTTTGTATCAGAAGTCTTAACATTTTCTTATAATGATATATCCTCCACAACTATTGGTGTCTTCTTTGTCAATGAAGTGTTTTGAAAAACTTTTCTTCTATTTGATACAGCGAAAATTTTTTTTTTTCTTTGATGAAAAAAAAAAGTTTCAATTTGAGAAAGAGAAAGTTGCTTATGTAATAACGCGTGATTGTTGGAATAAGAGTAGAACTTGGTGTGATGATAATAGGAGATTAATATGCTTTAGGTGCAGAGTAATTCTATGATACTAGTTCATAAGTATTTCTTGACAGGATCAAGGTGCACGTAAGACTTTGTTAATTCAGAACCTACTAAGTCTGTGCTACAAGTCATTATCATCATTTCACACTCGGTTAAACAACAGCCAATGGTGGTTAATCCTAAATACTAACTCTACCCTTAACCATCATCTACATCACCTTTATAATCACCTAGTTGTGTCAAATATCTATCCCACACTATACAAACAAAAGTCGTGTAAATTGCACCAAAACCCGTTCTCACTCTTCACCATTTTTTTTTTTTCAACCAACCAAATTCAACTAGAAAAAAATTACCAACAAAACACTAGTTAGCAGTATTTCTGATAACAAATTAAATAAACAAAAAAATCGATAAATCATGGGTCATCATCATGCTCCAAAATTAAGTATTGCTGCCATGCTTGTAATGGGTTCAGTTGCTGTTACATACTTTGGATTAAAATCTCCACTTAAGAATAAATGGGCTAGTGAAAGTAGAATTAGTCCAAAATCAGATTTAGCTTGGAGAAATAGTGCTGATCAATGGTTAGCTAGTCATAAATAAATCAGTTGATATGGCAAAAAATACAAACAAATGACAAGGAAAGAATTGTATTTCTAGAGAAGGATGACTTATGGTCAAATAAATGCATATTTTTGGTAATTATTCATAGGAATTGATATTTAAGTTTCATTTTTTTTTTTTTACTTTATTTATTTAATAATACATGTAAATGTTCTATAAAGTCCAATTATTTATTATGAAGTAGAATAAGGGAGGATATTATCCTTGTTTTGTGAGAATGTCTTCTAATTCGATTTGTTCTGATTGTTGTTTTTGTAATTTAACCCAATCTGATTCTAATTTTAAGAAACACCATATCCAACGTCTTTGAATTTCAAGTAATTCAAGTAATGCATAACCAAAGGAGTAAGCATCATAACCGAATAAAAATGTCGAGAAAATATGGATAAACTTAATATGATCAGCTTGAAGTTCTTCATTAATTATAAAAAATTTCAACACCCATATGAATCGTAAAAAGAAATCAATGATAATTGCCAAATAGTAGATAATTCTTGGATATGTCAATTGATTTCGAAGAATATGAAATTTGTAGAATGAACTTTTCCATTCAAATAAACCATTGAATAATCCCAAATTCCAATCCATTTTAATATCCCAAATAAATGAATAGGTAGAATTTAATGCCAGTGCCAAATACCACCAATTATTTAAACTATTTAATTTAAATAATAAAGAACCACTTGATTTTTCCTCATCACTAGCATTCAATAATGTTCTTTTAATAAATACATTGACTAACAAAGGACCAAACCCAGTTGAATATTTAATCAAATTTAGTAAATGTTGTTTTTGACCTGTTGATCTATATTCAAACCAACATTGTTTAATTCTAATACATGTAGGAATGCACAAGATCATAAATTCCAATTTATAATTATATGCCACATCAGTAGTAAACCAATAGTTCCAAAAAACCAACCCTAAATCATTCAAAACTTTTGAATAAGAAACTAAACTATCACTTATCAATATATCATTAGTTCTCATAGATATACTATTAATATTTCCTTTTAATATCCTCTTGATTGTAGTAAATACTCTAAATTGTCCTGATGACTGAGCTGACTTATAAAACATTTTATATACACTAAACCCCAAAGATATCAAAGGTAAAGTATAATATAAACTCTTTAACAAGTCATTTCCATCAATTATTCTATAACTTATCCAACAAACAATATTAACAATGGAAACAACTTTGAAAAGTCTCCAAATACCTTTAATTAATCTTTGATTTTCATTAAATTCAGCTGGGATTGTAGTAGAAAATTCCCCACTTGATAAATTATTATTAGTATTATCTAATTGAGTATAATTATGAGGACTATATGATAAATTTAACAAGTTTAATAAATTTATCTTGGTGAAATTAAACAAGATCAAATTCAATAATAACCATAATAATAATCCTAATTGAATAGTAAAAGTTACTCGAAATGATAATGGAATAAAATCATTAAATACTAATTCATATGTCTTTTCAGCATCTCCATCCATACTTATAGACTACTTATTCATGTAAATCGTAATGAAAATCAAAAGAGTATAAATAAAATGATTTCGAGGCTGGTTGTTATTTTTAGTTTATTTATTCTTGGTGAAAAAAAAAATTGAAAACAGAAGTGTACAATCTGTTCGATTTCAAAAGTCGTGTATTATTGTTAGAGCGCAACCTCACGTGACGCGCAAATATAAAATTTTTATAATATTGATTGCAATTTTCTAATCTTTCGAGGTTGAAATTCTGATTTATTAAAAGTTTTAGGTCTCAGATCATATTCAACATTTAATAATTCAAAATTTGGTTTTGTTGACAATTCATCAAGTAATACTTCAATATCAGATGCCATTAATTTATTTTCTGTAAAACTAACCCATTTGATAGCATCACTAAATAGCATCATCTTGGTTCTACCGAAATTAATAAAACTACCACATAATTTATTCTCGGAAAAGTCAATTTCTTCAAGATTAGTTAATTCTTGTAAGGAAATATATGTCAGTATCGAGTTCCTAGATACATCTAATCTTTTCAAAGAAAATGGTAAATGCTTTGGATTCATTGTAGTCATCTCATTACACAGCATTTCTAATTCTTCCAAATTTGTATAGCTATGAAGGTTCTGAAGCTTGATCCAATCTTCGTTGATCCTATTGTGATTCAAAGAAAGTAATTTCAACCCTCTTGGAAATGTAGAAACTTCCAGAGTTTCTCCTAGTAAGTTTTTCAGACATGATAATTTTTGTAAATTATCTGGAAAACCATTGATACAAGTAAGTTTATTTCCCGAAAGGTTAATAACTTGTAATGATTTTGGAAATACCATTGAAACCTTGGAAATTCTGTTTCCAGAAATATCCAACCTTTGGAGTTTAGATGGTACAGTCAATGTATGATTATCAAGAATTTGAAAGTCATTATCACGAAGTTTCAAAGAAACAAGTCTTGGAGTGTTAATACGTGCTTTAACTAAACCACTTCCACAAATAGTCAACTTTAATAAAGAATTGGGTAATTTATAAGAAAATTCATTTATCCTGTTTCCATTTTTGATAACTAACTCAATAAGATTATCCAAGTATTGCAATTTCTCAAAATCGATTACCGTGGAAGCATTTAAAAATAAAGAAGTTAAAGAATTCAAATTTCCAACAAGAGATAAATTTGGAATACAATGAACAAGCAAAGAATTTAAACTTAACAATTGGCAATCAAGAATAACTGTATTTCCAGTTGCAAAATTACCTTTCAACACCAAGTCTTGTAAAGAAGTTGGTAAGTTTAATAATGGTTTATGGTTAGATTTTTTAGCTAAACTTTTATTTTCACAACTCAATAAACATGACGATATTTCTAAACGTTTCACATTATCTGGAATTTGTAAATCCCGAGTTTCTATTTCTTCCACCATTTGGATAGTGTTTTCAATTGTCAAATACTCCAATTCGGGACAAATTAATGATAAATTATCAACAATCATCTCTAACCATTCAACATTTAAGTCTTTTAAACGTGAAGGAAATCTCCACTTGCTTACCAAATTCGAAGGTTCATCAGCATTCCAAGCTATTCCAGATAGTTTTATCTTTTTAAGATTCGTCAAATGACTAATGTCAAATATAGTTCCTTGACCACATCCAGTTATTGACATCTTCAATTCCATTAATGATTCTGGAAGGTTTAATTTCGTTTCTGTTTCTGGATCAAAATGCATTTCCAATAAGGACATATCACAAGTCAATTTCTTCAATTGTTGAGGGATATTATTGAGATCATAAAAATACAAACTTTCTTTAATCAGAAGACTTGTTAAATTAGGAAACATATCCTTAGAAAACTCATTTAAATCAATACTTTGTATAGCTAAAGCTGAAAATGATTTTACATTTTTAGTTAAATCAAAACCAAGATAATTTTCCGTGCTTGTTCCATATCGAGTAATAACTGAATCAACTTTAAATGGATGTTTCTTATATTCTTCATAAAATTTCCAATATGAAGGAGAATAAGGATAGGGAAACCAAAAGGCAAGTTCTATCTCCACATTATCTAAACAATTTGGACATTGTCTAGCTAAAGCAAGTGCATCAAATGGATCACCAAATAATAATCTTCTAGGAGTAATATGTGGGTTTAAATCAAGTAATTTTATAAATTCAGAAGGAGATTTCAAACGTGGTGGCCTTTGATTTGACAGTATTATAAATGGAGTATGAAATCGTTCGTTATCACCAATTATAATAACAGAGTACAAAGCCCTCTGTGCATGTATTCCAAGTCTTGGAATCTCAACAAGATGTTTTAAAACTGTATTAGGAAGGTAGTTGATGATTATTTCAACAAGTTCTTCTGGTATATCATCAAAATTGGCCATTCTCACTGGTTTGGTTAAATGAGTAGTGATATATAAAAGAAGAAAAGAATCAAAGTTGATATTTAAAAGTTGGGGGAGGGGGTGACGATTAGCAAGGTTATCGCGGAGCAACCTCGGCGATAAAGTTTTTGGATGCACACGACTTATTTGTGACAGGGGTTCAAAATTGCGGAACAATATAAACGTTGGAGATCACAATGTGAATGATTCTTGGTTGTAGAAATAACTATCAAGAGTATAATAAAACGACACAAGTAAACACCAAGTTTTAAATTACCAGAGTAGATTGATGATCACATAAAGGCAGCGTCCATTAGCAATATTATACAAAGTTGTAATATTTTGGGTGAGAATATGAACTAAAAAAGGGGATAATTCAATACGAGTGGAATCATAACATATATTGGATCTATAACTTTTAAATCAACAAAGATAGAACAATCCACAATATAGAAAAATAAAAAGGCATTCTTTCAAAAAATAGATTGATCTAATTATTCTGAGAACACATTTTTAGTCTTCTTTTGCATTTCGTTACCACAATGCATATATAAACCTCGTGAATATTCGGAACAACGGAAATAAGTGCAGGTATCCAATATATTATTATAGCCGCTTAGTAAATCTGCCGAGCTAACCAAGGAGATTAATACAAACATAATAACAAGCTTCATTATGATGGAATTTGTTTGTCACCTAAATGCTGGTACCAATACCAGAGCAAATGTCTCTAGTATTTATAGTGAATTTTATCTGGAGGAATAATTATCATCAATTTACTATTCAAATGCAAAAAGCATAGAAGTAATAATTATATCTCGTAACTGGCGGAATTTACCAATCTCTCCAGCAACTATTAAACATGGGTTGATTTTTCGTAATGACTTCCAACTCAATAGGAAATAATTTTGTAAAGTTATATAAATAGAATTTAATTATATAAGAAATATTGACTAATATCCATACTGGTCAAAACCAGCTTTAGTAATAGTTACGGAATAACATAACACGACAGATATAGTATTGAATTGTCTATTTACATCTTCTCATTTCCCCGCTAAATATTCAAACCAACTCCATGATTAAAAGGCAATATGTGGTTTTATTTGATACATAGGTGATATAGGAAAATACCTACTTATAGGGGCTACACATGATAAATTTTCTTCAACAGGTACGAAAGTATAATTGCATCATATCTTACTAAATTCCATGGTATAGTTGAACAGAAATTAAAACAAATCGAAGAGAAAAAAAAAAGCATTTCAATATATTTAATCAATAAAATATAAAGGTAAACAATAAATCATAAATGGTTAAGATATAAAAAGATGATTATTCAGAAGTGAATATAGTAAAAATAGTAGCATATAATCAAAAAGTAGTTGTGAAAAAAAGGGTGCAAATACCGTCATGAAATTAAATCAACATGGCAGCAATTAATCCTACAAAGGAAACAATACTACCAGATGAAGCAATATTAGAAACAGCCTCTTCTCTCTCAGAAGTATTTGGACTTGTAGATGACGAACTTGACTTGGTACTGGATTTGCTTGAAGATGATGATGACCTTGCCAATTTACATACTTCACTTTTGAAATTCGCTACTGTATAAGCATCAGAATCTCCAATAATTCCACAACTTTTATAGCAAGAAATCATATCCGCAAAGAAAGAATTAGGCATCTTACAAACACATGCATAGTTACTTTCAGTATCGGTTGTGCCACATTTTTTATACATAGCTTCAGCAGCTTCTGTACAAACGTTTGCATTGCAGGTTGTATCTTTCAATTTGAAACCTTTAAACACGTTGGCGGTAGTTATAGTAATAAGCAACAAAATGGCAATTAATTTCATTTTCAGTAATAGGATATTGTAAAGTAAATGATGATTGATTAGTTGAAAATATAGTCTAAAACAAGTGTAAGAACTTACATTGATATTTATACTACAGCTCGTGAGTAAAAATCATTCTTATTTGAAAATTTGGGATTGTATGAATAGATTCTACCATATATCTATGTTCTAGTAACATTGATGACTGTTGTATCTGAATTATCTAATCCACCTCCCCTCTCAAAGTGCTAAAGTGCTCAAAGTAAATATAAACTTGCTAAAATACAAAATGACCTCTTCTTGAATGGTAGGGATTACATAACTGACTCTAATCGGGATGATTGGGAACTATTTGTGTTTAGAAAATAGGTCATCATTAATATAGTTCACTGAATAAGCATTGCAACCACGATTGTACATTACAAAGGGAACAACTTGATACTTTCATGGCAGGTTGAGCAATAAGATATTTTCCAAAAGTGAAAGATTATATTACACTTCATTTCCAATGTACTATTATATTTAATACATGTTTGTCTTATACTGGCTATGACATATTATATTTTTTTTTTTGTTGGTTTGTTTCTAAGAACTGTACTAACTACAAAAAAGAAATAACGAGACGATTTACTAATACAATGCAACTTGCCAAAATTTTCGATGGCATTTACGAAACAGTAATCTTATTCTTTTGTTAAAATAGAATATCCAGAGATAAGGTCACGTACAAGATACTAAATGTTCCTTATTCCTAAACGACTGTACTATAAATAACCAGATTGCGAATTCCTCTATAAAAATTACATGCCTTACGTAATATACACCAGTCTAAGAATAACTTGTCTTGGCGATGGGTCACTTTCATGAGTATCATCAAAATGTGGATGGAAACATGCATTACCCTAGTATCTGTTCAAAATAGTCAACAGTTCATCTGTGTAAGTGAAAACAATAACTAAACTGGGATTAGATAAGCCTACTTTATACCAGCGCTTTTGAATGATCAACACCATTTTTAGACAAAAATTGTACACACTGCACAAATTAATCTTCACTGTATCTGCACGACATAGCCCGGGATTTGTATACAGTGTTTCTACTTTCAGTTCGTACCAAGTTCAAAGAAATTATTAATACTAGTGTGACGAATTTAATTCATAGTAAGAGAGATTAATTGTTCATAGTAGATGGAGTCAAAATGTTCACATCAGTGGAAATAATACATTCAAACTAGCTGCCGTTTTTTGTTCATATCATATATCATACATTTTCAGTATGAACAAATAGAGGTCACGTAATATGAACATTTTTTGCGTACTAGTATCAAAAATATTGACCGCCTTAATATGAACTTTTCTTTGCAAATAGTGCGAATAATTTTGACTCACTGATCTGAAAATTATGCTCAAACTAGCGCGAAATAAAACTGCAACGACTGTATTTCTACGTGTAGAAGCAAAGTCTAACACCTGTCTGATGCAAGCTTATATAATCATAAATACCGATACAATTTAACCAATTTGATAAACGTACAAGTTACAGTAATAATAGAGAAATAGGGGTTTGATAATACTACACCATGCAGTGGATTGCTTTGAAATGACCTTCAACTATCTTTTAGAGACGAAAAATAAAATGTGAAGGCACAGGGTGAATTAGTTCTTACATATCTGTACAAAATAGTTCAGGATTTATGATTAAACTGGCATTTAACAGACAAAAGCCACCCAGATTCACACCCTAATTGTTCCGATTACGAGTGGACAACAGTTGCAATTCAATTGCGTGAATTGTAGTAGATAAATCAGAATAATCCTAAATAATTATCTACGAGCTCCATATATTCCAATCAACTTGAATATCAGTTCGGTGAAATAGTACCACCAATATGGATCCCCCAAAGACAATATTCTCGTGTACTTGAAAACTAAGTTTATCGGTACACACAAATTATCAAAACTCTCTTTAATCTGGTAATCTGGAACTGACATTATCGTCATTTTATGAACCATTGTTGATTCTATAAATACTTCTCTTTGTTGATGAATCTCCTCTAATCAACATACCTAATCATTGTTTCCCAGTTTCATATCATACGATTTTTTTTTTTTTTTTGTTTTTATTTTTGATTTTGAAGAACATTGACACTACTTTGAAAGTAGACAATTTGGTTAATTGATTATTGTATTTCTTTCAGAAAGGTTGATACTACTTCTGTGAACATTCTTTTACAATCTTAATAATAATAATAATAATAAATTCACAATAGCCACAATAGTTATTTAGAATACTAATATACAACTTGGCAATAACTCAAAATTATAGGAAAGCTCCTTTGACAAAACACAATGATTCTTACTGCAAAAACCAAGATATGCTTGATTTATTGAAGGTTGTGCAAATCACGGGTAAGAGCAATGGATTATTTTACATTCTCCTTTTGACTTGGTAGTCTTTATGTAAGCGAAGTAGAACAAGAGGAAGGGGACACTATTATTACTGCTGTTGCCATTGTTTCAATGTTTTTGAATATTAAAGAGGTTTGTGTTACCAATGCTTAAAGTATCACTTTTATTCATTGTTGTTTGAATATTATTAATAGTTTGGCTTTTTATTTTTCCAAATTTAAAAGCTATTGTTCGTGATAAGCAATGTTTATTCATTTATCTATTGTTTCTTGATGTTCATTATTTCAGAAATTTGCTTTGGATAATGGGTAGTAGTAGACCGATGTTGGTATTAATAAATAAAAATAGGGTTATCTTTAGCTTTCTCCTCTCGGCGAATAAGCGGGTTTAGATAAGTCCTTTCAACATATTTATCCGTTCATTCTCCTCTATAGCTTTAAACGCTTACAAGTCTATTTGATTCTTTTCTCTATTCTAAGCCAGAACAAAGCGTAGGGTACTTCTGAATAATTAGTTTGGATTTCTAGTTTGTTATATAGGCGCTTGGATTTTCCTATTAAGCCATCAAGGTTTTGTGTATTACCTGAGTCGTTGAATATTACTAGTTCTTTTTTTTTAGTCAGATCTAAAGGTGAAACTTGATGATTCATAATTGTGAAATCGCCTTGAACTGGAGGAGTATTATTGATGTGACCAATTTGACTTCGTTTATGGCTGAGCAGTGACAATATTGAATTGCTTTTAGGTGACCTTTTTTGTAAAAGAAAGGCCTGGCCAATTAAGAGGTGGCGAAGGAGAGATAATATTTATGAAAATACATTTATAATAACAGTAAAAGGGATAGCAAAAGAAAGTTCAAGTTAATATTAACAATGAATAAGTTACAAAATAAGCTTGCACTTTATAACCGACAATTAATACCGATGGATATAAGGGATTATTGTTGACATTGTGTTTGATTTGTTTTTAAACATTTAGTTCTAGTTTATTTTCTAAGACACCCAGTTTACATGTTCATGTAAATGATTGGCCTCATACCGCAAGTAAAATTAAACACGATTTAGATCTTTTAACCAAAAAAAAAAATCTACTCTAAAAATTAGATGAAAACTAACTGCTCATAAGGAATTTTAACCAACGATACATTTACGATAGATCTCACCACGAAGAGATCCCCGAAGAGAAATGAAATCAGAAATTAGAAATAAGAAAAGAAATGATGAAAAAATTCATCTTGAAATATTATTATTTTATTAAATTGCAAAATAGGCTAGTTTTGTCTCTTGCTTCTTTCATGACAATAATCCCCACCTCCTATTATTTCTTTATTGACTTGCCCCGCTTTCTCATCTTGCTGTTTTAAGCTATTACGAAGCGATCACTTTGTTCTGTGGGAGTAGTTTTGTGAACAGTATTGTTCATTCCAGCTACCAAAAAAAAAAAAAAGAAAAAGAACATAAAATAATAATAGTAGATGCACTTATGCACAATAAACAATATTGGAAACAATCTGGACTTCTTTCTGTTTAAGGCTAATAGGGGAAAAAAATAGAACAGTTAAACGATTGCAAAGTTACAAATAGGAGAAACATTTGCATAACGATTATGATTATGAATGGCAATTTGTAAGGCTGAAGCAACCTGCATTAAATGCGGTATCGCCCTAGAGAATAATTTTCAATCTGTTGAGTTTAACTTTGTGTGGATATACAAGTTTAGTATTCCGAGTCATATTCTCGTGGCCGTGCTAACTTAGTACCCGTTGATATAAAGAAGTCAAAGGGTTAAAATTACGACGAAACAAAATTAGCTTCCTTCAGAGTGAATCGTTTTGTTTTTTTTGTCTGTCTTATCGTAAATTTTCATTTTATAGTCAACTTTTACATTAATTTATTGAAAGGAACGATTTCAAAAAGAGAGTAAAATTAATCTTTAAACTCTAACAGGATTGGGGGATTTCATTTTTTTTTTAAAAAAAAACAAATGAAAAGAAGAGTCTATGCATATACTGCTGCATCAATAAGAACTAAATCGGCGCCTTCTTTTATAAGACAAAAATGTCGTTCAAAGACACAACTAAAGTTAGATCAAGCGTGGCTGGTGTAAATTATTCTCAGGGAAATGGCTAGACTCTAAGTTTAAACAAAATTAGTCTAAAGATTGAACTACCCCCCCAAGGGGCTTACGAAAATATTTCTTGATCATAGTAATTCTAAGACATCGTTTGATACTTTCGTAAGTAGCCCTTCTCTGGGTTATCTCAATCCAATAGTTGTTACATTAAGGGTGAACATTTCTCGAATGTTTGGGAAGAAAAATTCTGAAAAATTGCCTCAAACGAAACAATAAAATGTAATATAATGCATATCCCTATTCAACGACAAGAATGGATATTTAATTTTGTAATCTCTGTGTATATTTCTTAGTTTCTTTATCAATTTGTTCCATTTTCATATGAACATAATCAAGAACAGTATCAATCAATCCTTAAATCAAACAATACTTAAATCATCGTCCAAGAAAAATTAACCAAACTGAATCGAGTGAATTCAAGTGAATGAAGTTGTAAAATAGTTATGAGACTAGAGAAGCTCAGGCTGTCTACTTTTTTCCCTTTCACGGCGTTTTGATGAATGAGTAGAGAACTTTGTTTAGATTTCCCTTTAAAAAAAAGAATGCATTCTTATCAGTATTTTTAGTTATACGGAAATATCATTTTTAAATTATACATATAAGGAACGTTTGAATTCCATACTAATTCCTTACTCAAATTGCTATAATTCATTTTTTAGCTTATCGATTGATACACGTGTAGTGTATGTATATGTGTGTGGTTTTTACAGGTATATCTTTTGGCAAAAACAGTCTATACCTTTACTTATGGGCTGTTGAGTTGATTTTGTCCTTTTCGTTCACCTTAAACTGAAATGCAATATATAAACTAAACATTTTTTTTTTCTGCAAAATGGTTTATAAGCAAAATGGTTTCTGCACGCTTTCTAAACCCGTATTATTTTTTAGTCGTGCACCATGGTGTTTTGTCCCCTATTTTCATTATTATTATTATTTATAATATTTTTGAATTATCGCCATACTTGGCTGAGCAAGTTTTCAATTGCAAGCCGTATTGGGTATGATAATAAGGTCGGTGGCTGATTTCAATGGAGCAAGAAGTTTCAAACGGTGCTGAAAAAGAACCGACTCCAGAATTATTAACTGTACAAATCCCAGCAACATAATCAAGACAAAGGGAAATACGTCACCATTAGAGCATAATGTCACCATTTGGAGATCCAGCTTAAAAATTTAAGATCTAGGGGTGGTGTAAGCAAAAAGAAAAGAGAATGTTTAAGTAGATGTTACATAGTATTGTCAAATTAAATCGCATATTGTCTTCTCTGCTATTGTAAATTGACACTAGACAAAAAGAAAATGTTCTTTACCAAATCCCTCGCATTAACCACTCTCACTTCAGCAAAGGTATCATAACCAAGGGATTTTAAGTTTATCATTTGGATTGAACTACTATGTTTTAATACTTTTCTTCCTACTTGCTTTTTTTTTTCATTACGTAATTCTTGACATTACGAAAAGAAATTGTCGATGCTCTTTATTTTACTTCTCATTGATATGAACAAAAAATATTGCTGTCTGTTGCATATCGTTGTAATGGGAACCAACGAATTTCAAGATTGTGAAATTTTCTTCTTCAAACTCATCACCTCCATGGCATCTCCCGCCTCTTTGATTTTTCATTGCATATAATTATCACTTTGCATGGATGGATTTTCAATCACTTAAAATTTTCAAATGTATTGCATTCAATAAATCCGATCCAGTCAAATGCATCATGGTTATGTTTCCCTCTCTATTTTCTCTATCTATCATCCGTATGTATGTATCTGACGGGCAATAATAAACAAGTAAGGACTGTGGTAATTCAAATATTGACACTTTTCTTGTGATTTAAGATTGAAATAAATGAACAAAAAAAAGGAACATCGGAAATATGGATCTTTTAAAAATTACCTTAAATTATCAATACAAATAAGGTCTACAAAACAGTAAATTAGACTTTTCCCCGGTGCAAACAAGTTAAAAGTGAAAATATATACTCGAGGTAATTTGTTTTCTCCATAAACACTCCTATTTCTACATTATGATTTAGTTTATTGTTTTCTTTTCTCCAATTATTATTACCCTAAGATCCAGAATTAATAATCTAGTAATCCAACAAGAAAAAAAAATATTCTGTATTTTATTCGTGGTAATACCAATTTGTTTATACATGAAGCTGAAATTCGTAGAGATGATATTGAGTTTGCTAGTAATTAAATTATAATTAAAATTTATGATTGGGGAAGACTGACATAAATCCAGGAGTGATGCTATTTCATTTCATTCCCTGTCATCATTCCCAGTAATATGGTAATTTCACTTCTGTATCTGTACCAAGTTTTAATTCAAAAAAAAAAAAAAATCCAAATTACTTCAGTGCTCAAACTTATTGCAGATACATATTTTCTTTGTATTGCAATTAGAGGGAAAAAGCAAGGATTATAATTAAAGTTATCCATTGAATACTTAATTGTTTGCCATTGGATAGTTTACGATCAAGTGATGAATTGAACTGATTGTTCATGTGAATTTGGATCAATTCGTTCACTAATTGGCTTTTTCAAGAAATCATATTAGCCTTAATATGATGTATGTCTAGATTTAACTTGAAACTTACAATTCACTCAGTATTTCAGACACCACATTAACTTAAGATCGTTAGTAATGTCACAAATCAACAACTTGATAGTGTTAAAATCTCTTACTAATTCTTCACTGAAACCTTTTATATACAGAATAGTTTGTATTTAGAAGTATTTGCTGTGACTACAATTTGAGTTCAAGGTGTTTTGCAGTTGCGGTGTTCCGACAGTAACTCCTCGGAACAAAAGCACACTCCAGCAAAAATGAAAACAAGACGCAGAATTTATTTTGCTGCGAAATTTCTTAATTTCTGCAGCACCACAAAACCAAACTGAAACCCAATAATAAAGCAACAAAACTAAAACAATAACCCATGGGCAACAGCCAATTTTTTAAAAGTAATAGTTACACATAAGTAAAATACGTAAGTTCTATTTAGAAGGGTCAATACTAAAAGTATAGTCGTCATTAAAAACTTGCTCATCATTCATCCGCTTGCGTTAAGTTTTTATATAATCGTAAAGGCTTGTTATCACCAGTTTCACCAGTTTCTATTGTTGTGTTCCTACGCCTTGGATAGAACTATTTTAAAAATGCACCCAAGATATATTTTTCTGGAGACTAAACTAATGGAAATATAATATTATTTTCACCACCACTTCAGATATGAACACAATCAGGTTCAAAATTAAGGTAAATGCATGAAGGCAAAAATTCAAAAAAAAAAAAGAAAATAAACTACGACTTTCATTTTATTTTTTTTTTTTTTTCTTTTTTGTTTGAATATTGCAGTTTTGTTCTATTTCTTAAATTTAGTTTCTATTTGAATCGCAAATATTTGCATCTCCCTTAGTCCCTAAATTGAGTTTAAATATTAAAGGTGTGTTTTATTGCCCTGGTTAAAGATTAATCACAACCTATCAATATTTATAGAGGTGGGAATTTCCTTTCTTTCTTTTTCCTTTTTATTTTTATTTTTAATTTCTGGTTTTTCTTGAAATATTTTGATTCTTTGTATTAAATAATCGTCATAAAGGTTTGAGTTACTCACGGTAAACTTGTTCCTGATAGTTCCTTATAATTTAGTCATTTTGCTTATTGATTGTATTGCGTCCTCATATTGCGATCGGCGATCACTAATCCTTGCCCTTACACCAAGACTCGGTAATTCTTTTTTTTTTTTTGTCAAAGGTTACTTTTAGCGCAGTCGGTCCATAGTAGGGTATTATAGAACAGGTAAACGAATCCCCTTTCCACTTACTTGTTTTGTTTTTCCTTGTTATTTATTACCATCAAACGTTTTTGCTTTTGGTAACATTATAAAACCAATATATACACAGTCGAGAGAGGAAAAAAAAAATACTCTCCATACACACTCACAAAAACATATAAATACACACACACACACACTCATTCATTAACACACACACATATAAATATATTTATTTATACTCACCCATTCCACATTTTATTCACATAAACACCACTTGTTTCTTTCACTTGTTGTTAACACTTTGCTAAAGAATAAGGGTCAGAAGCATCATCCTTTTTTTTATTTCGAGCTTAGTTGTTCCATTATCTTTTGTGCTTTATATTATATTGCTTACATAAAGAACTTTCATTTCTCTAATTCATATCGGGATATATATACACCACCACCACCACCACCCCAACAACAACAACAACACCTTTTGTCTTTTATTTTTCAATTCCACACCACCTGTTCTTTAAATTAATTTTTTTTATTCATCTAGTGTTCCTTCTTCAATTCCTTTTTCCTGCAAACATGGTTGGTTATAACTTGATAGAATCTAATTCGATTAACTTGGCTCATATACAAGATAATGAACAGCACCAAGAACCAAATTCACATCTGCATTTATACCATCATTATCAATTTGTTCAACAACAACAACATTTCCAATATTTGCAAAACGCTCTTGCTAGTACAATGAGTCAACAACAACAACAACAATTGCCAGACCAACAAGATTCACAAGATCAACCCAATTCTCAACTGCCACTGCCTTATCATCCAAGCTCAGCTGTGTTCAAACCTAACTACATGCAAGATGTTTTATTGAATGAAACTTGTATCTTGAATTCACCAATGAATTCTATGGATACTTCAGCTTGTACTACTACTAAAACCACACCATTGATGCATCCAATTTCTGTTCATGAGTTTGATCAATTACCACTTAATAATAATCATCATCTTCACCACTATCATTTTCCTCATGAACATGCTAATATTGCTGCTAGATCAGATAGTATCACTACTTTGAATGAAGATAAAAAATGCATCTTACCCTCTCCACTGTCTCCAATGACAGTTACTGATGGAAAACAACCTCATGACGAGTATTTAAATTTTGTTACTACATTTTCAATTCATCCTCAATCAACTAGTTCTTTGGTTTTTAGAAACCATCACCATATTAATTCTGCTGTGAGACATGCATCTTATGATTTGGGATGTTCAACATCTGAAAACGTCATTGCTACACCAGAATCATCTCCTAATATTAGAAAGGGATTATTTGAAGATAATTCCTCTAGGTTTCCTATTATTCCTTCTTCTCCTACTTTCCCTGCTGCTTTAAATTTATCCCATGGTAAAGTTGTTCCTCAAAAGATGCCTAAACAAAGTGGTCCTGTTTTGCAACCAGCTTTTGAAATCAAGAATATGACAACCATTAAAAAAATCAATCCTGAACAATCTGCTGCTACAGGAAGATCTAAATCATATTCAAGAAAGAACGTCAATACTGCAAATGTATTATCACAAGGTTATGAATCAATGAAAAAGAGATTACTAGCTAGATATTCAACTCGTTTATTACAAAGAATGAGACTTTCTGAAAGTGATACCAAATGTCGTAAACATTGTGAAGTAGATTTTACCAATTATTTGGAACTTATTAATCACTATGAAGATAATGGTTTACAAATGCATTTAGAAACTAGAAATTTTAAATGTCCAGTTAAAGAATGTCCAATGAATATAATTGGATTTGATAAAAGAGCAGATTTAAGACATCATGTTCATTCAGATCATTTAACTCATGGTTTAGTTAGTGCTCAATATTCCAAATATTCTGATGAAATTAAAAAATACTTGTTTGTATGTGATGAACCTAGTTGTGGTAAAGGTTTTTATAGAAGTGATACTTTAACAAGACATGTTAAATTGGTTCATAAAAGAACAAGCAATTTTACAAGAAGAAGAAGAAGAAGAATTAATAAGAATCATGCATAATGCATAATTAGTTGGTATTTATATGTTTTGGTTTGTTCAAAGGGGATAATCATTTCAACAAGCAATATTAGAAAAAGTTTTTTTTTCATTTTTATTTTTTTTTTTTTTTTTTCATTTTGATAAAGTAGTTATAAAAGAGTATAGATTGCTGTTGATAGCTGTCCATTATGGATATCCCCTTCCCTGCCTCCGCCCTTTTCACTTTCAGTTTTTGTTTTGGCATTATTTTATTCATCATAAAATTTGTCTAATCTTGTCTTTAATTTTAATTATTGGTATTAGTTTTGTTTTTATTTGGCTTTCAACAGCCCTTACCCATTCAATTCTTGGTATTTTTGTTTCTTGATAAATATTTAGAAATAATCTTCTTTGTTTAGTTTTATATAGAATTCCATTAAATTTCTTCGGTTCATTTCGTTTAGAAGTTATAGCACCTGTACTCAATGAAGTGTGATCAGTATCACGTGATGTACTATTGAATAAACGCGTATTTACTGTTAATTCCAATTCAAGGATACAAGCAGATAAGTGCATATATCAAACCAGCCCAATCGTAAGTATTACATCACTATTTGAACAAGATTAAAAGTATGTCCTCATTAAATTATCCTACTAAAGACCAGCCGTAACACGTCGCGTTATTAATGAAAATCAACAACCAAGTAGTGCACGCGTAGAGAAAAAAAAAAATTCAATTTCAGATTATATCGGCAGCAAAGGAGAACGAAAAATATTTCAAAACGTATCGTCATCATCATCATTGATTTGTCATTAGTTTCTTTCTTGTTTTTTTGCTATATTTATTCATTCACATAATTGACAAGATGAGTTCGACTGAAGCTACACCATCATTTGATGTGACCGATGGTTCAGAAACAATGAATGATTTTTCATTTGAAAATAATCAAAGGAAATATTTTACAAAAAGTGATAAACAACAAGTTGATATTGAAAAAACAAGTAATAGATTTAAATATTTGTTAGGATTGACTAGTTTGTTTCGTCATTTTATTGAAGCTAAAGCAAATAAAGATCCTTTATTTCGTAAAATTGTCGATGATATTCATGATTCAGAATCCAAGCCAGGCAAAAAGGGATCCGATGCTAGTAAAAGAAGAAGAAAAACTGAAAAGGAAGAAGATGCAGAATTGTTAAAAGATGAAAGATTAACTAGTTCAATTTTTGAATTCACTGAAAGTCCAGGATATGTTGATGGGAAATTAAGACCATATCAAATCCAAGGTTTAAATTGGTTAATTTCATTATATGAAAATAATTTATCTGGGATCTTAGCTGATGAAATGGGTTTGGGTAAAACTTTGCAAACAATTTCATTTTTAGGATATTTAAGATATATGAGAGGTATTAATGGTCCTCATCTTGTTATCACACCTAAATCAACTTTGGATAATTGGCAACGTGAGTTTAATCGTTGGATTCCTGACATCAAAGTTTTGGTTTTGCAAGGGGATAAAGATGAAAGAGCAGAATTGATCAAATCAAAGGTTATGCAATGTGAATTTGATATTATCATTGCAAGTTATGAAATTGTCATTAGAGAAAAGTCTACACTTAAAAAATTTGATTGGGAGTATATTGTCATCGATGAAGCTCATAGAATTAAAAATGAAGAGTCTTTGTTATCACAAATCATTAGAATGTTTCATTCTAAGAATAGATTATTAATCACCGGTACTCCATTACAAAATAACTTGCGTGAATTATGGGCTTTGCTTAATTTCATTTTACCAGATGTTTTTGCGGATAACGAATCATTTGATGAATGGTTCCAAAAGGAAGACCAAGAAGAAGAAGATCAAGATAAGGTTATTTCTCAATTACATAAAGTTTTGAAACCTTTCTTGTTGAGAAGAATCAAAGCCGATGTTGAAAAGTCATTATTACCAAAGAAGGAATTGAATGTTTATGTTAAAATGGCTCCAATGCAGAAGAATTTGTACAAGAAAATTCTAGAGAAGGATATCGATGCTGTTAATGGATCTAATGGTAAAAAGGAATCGAAAACAAGATTGTTGAATATTGTCATGCAATTGAGAAAATGTTGTAACCATCCATATTTGTTTGAAGGTATGGAACCAGGTCCACCATACACCACTGACGAACATTTGGTGTTTAATTCGCAAAAGATGCTTATTTTGGATCAAATGTTGAAGAAATTCCAACAAGAAGGCTCAAGAGTATTGATTTTTTCACAGATGAGTAGAATGTTGGATATTTTAGAAGATTATTGTTACTTCCGTGAATATCAATACTGTCGTATTGATGGTCAAACTGAACATTCTGATAGAATCAATGCCATTGATGAGTATAATAAACCAGGAAGTGAAAAGTTTGTGTTTTTATTGACAACAAGAGCTGGTGGGTTAGGTATTAATTTAACCACTGCTGATATTGTTATTTTATTTGATTCAGATTGGAATCCACAAGCAGATTTACAAGCTATGGATCGTGCTCATAGAATTGGTCAAACCAAGCAGGTTAAAGTTTTCAGATTTATCACTGAAAATGCTATTGAAGAAAAAGTTTTGGAAAGAGCAACCCAGAAATTAAGGTTAGATCAATTGGTTATTCAACAAGGTAGAAATACTGGTGGATTAGATGGACAACAAAGTAGTAAGGCTGCATCGAAGAATGAATTATTGGATTTGATTCAATTTGGTGCTGCTGATATGTTCCATAAGGATAACTCTGCTGCGCCAGGAGGATCTGGTGAAGGGGAAGCCACGGTTGACATTGAAGATATTTTGAAGAAATCAGAAGAAAAAACTCAAGAGTTAAATGAAAAGTACGCCAAGTTGAATTTGAATGCTTTGCAAAATTTCAGTAATGATGATTCAGTCTATAATTGGAATGGGGAAGATTTCAAAAAGAAAGAATTGGGAATCCAATTACCGGTTGTTGAACTTGGTAAGAGAGAACGTAAGGAGAATTATTCTGTTGATACCTACTATAGAGATGTTTTCAATGCTGGTAGTAATAAATCGTCTTCAACTACTAGTAGATCTGGTCCAAAACCACCTAAACAATTAAACATCTATGATCATCAATTCTACCCAGCAAAAGTTCTTGAGTTGTATGAATTGGAAAAGAACTATTATAGAAAACAAATCAATTATAAAGTTCCCTTAAAAGCTGCTGATAAAAACACTCTGCAGGAAGAGCTAGAAAAGGAGCAGCGTTTGGAACAAGAAGAAATTGATAATTCACGCCCATTGACTGACGAAGAAAGAGCTTTGAAAGAGGAGTTAATGCAACAAGGTTTTAGTACTTGGAACAGAAGAGATTTCCATCATTTCATACTGGTTTGTTCCAAGTATGGACGTAATTCTATTAGATTAATTTCCCAAGAGTTTGAAGACAAGACTGAAGAGGAAGTTCGTGAATATGCGCAAGCATTTTGGAAAAACTATCAAGAAATTGATGGGTACGAACGTTATATTAACCAGATTGAACAAGGTGAGGAAAAGATCATCAAGGGTAAAGTACAAAAGGAAGCATTGAGAAGAAAATTATCACAGTACAAATATCCATTGCAAGAATTGGTATTAAAATACCCTCCAGCATCAACCAACAAACGTGTTTTCAGTGATGAAGAGGATAGATTTTTATTGGTTCAATTATACAAATATGGACTTGATCTGCCTGATGTTTATGATAACATAAGAGAAGCTATTCGTCAATCACCATTATTCCAATTTGATTTCTTTTTCCAAACAAGGAATTCAGGTGAATTATCAAGAAGATGTACAACTTTATTGGGATGTGTGTTGAAAGAAATAAACCCTGAAAACAATGTCAATTATGGTGCCGGTTCAAACAATGGGAAACGTTCAAAGGATGCTACACCTGAACCTAAAAGTAAAAAACAAAAGAAGTAATCATTCCATCCCATTGAAGGATTTCAAAATAAATACAAAAAAAAAAATAAAAAAGTGTATTCTATAGTACTGTATAATTTATGTAAAAGCTAAAATAAAGCAAAAAAAAGAAAAATAATAACTGGAATTAATGATATTTAGTTATTTTATTTACATTTTTACTCATTGTTTATTCATTTAAGAGTTGTTTGATATATTCTTCAAACAGTAGTGGGGCAATCATTGAATTGAATCTAGCCACTACTTGACCTTTTTTATTTACAATAAACTTCTCAAAATTCCAACGAACTCCTTTAAATCCCAATACTCCAGGTTTTTCATTCTTCAAATATCGATATAAATCAGATACTTCATTATCATATTTTTCACCATTAACTTTTATTTTCTTCATAATTGGGAAAGTAACTCCAAATCTCTTATGACAAAATTGTACAATATCATCTTCATTAAAAGGTTCTTGATTACCAAATTGATTACAAGGAAATCCAATAATTTCTAACCCTTGATCATTATACTTTTCGTACAAATACTGTAGTTCTTTATATTGTGGAGTAAATCCACAAAGAGTAGCAACATTAACTATAATAAGTACTTTATTTCTAAATTGTGTAAACTCAATAATCTTTTTATTAGCATCGGGTAGTTTGAATGAATATATAGTTGGCTGTAAATTATCACTTGTCATCGGAAATAACAATAACTAAAATCTGTGGAGGCGAATTCAATTGCAAAAATAGATAATATATATTGTAGTGTATGATTATATTGTCTAGAATAATGATGTCTCTTATTGGGGATATATATCTCTTGATTATACTGATCAATTATGCTTTGTTGGTCTTGGTTGTAAGTTTGTTGTTTTCCACGGAGTTCTCTTTTTTTTTATTGGGTTCTAGCAGGGAAAACCAAACAAAAAAAAAAAAAAAACAATAAGGGCAGAAATGGGAATAAAAATAAAAATGCGCCTAAAAGGAAAAAGCAAAATCAAACGATCCTCAACTTCTCTCCAACCAATCTAGATTCCATTCATCTATTACTAATGACAATTTTATATGTGGGCAGAATAAATCATTCGATTTTGCACTTCTTTGTTTTGTTTTGTTTTTTTTTTTTATACTTCCCAGGACAATTCTCTTTACAAATGATGGCATTGTTCCTGTCGATCCTATTTTATCTGACACGTAAAGCCTTATTAGATTGACGTGCATTCATCTTCGCTGTCTTTGCAACAAATGTGTCTTTGCAACTTCTCGTGATTTTAGTCACGTGAGATGTCTGAATACGTTTTTGAAATGTACATATTTTTTTTTTGCATAAATATAACTACTACATCAATTATACTACCCAGCAGATATCTATAACTGACATGGTTAACTTAACCAGCATTCAAACAATGATCCACGTGTGTATAACAATTTATAATTATGCTTTTCTTCCCGTCAGCCACAAGAGACCAAAAAGAAAACGTCAATAGGAAACGAAAAGTTGTCGCCCTTTTTTGGATTTTAAAAAATTTTCACCAAACAGTGAGAATCCAGTAAACAAAAATAATAACGGGCAAGAAAAAAAAAAAACGTATAGTTATAAGTTACTTCCCTTCAACCAACCCAACTAACACTTGATCATTACTTGATTCAATAAAAGGAATAATACAGGTCATCCAACCAAATCAAACCTGTTTTTCAAAACCTAAAGAGAAAAGAAAAACAAAGATATTCCTTTCTGGCTACTTCCACTTTGGTTATAATACTGAAAAATTTACTTTCATTTAAATTACCCTCCATTGACAAATCTGCATAAAGATTTGTTTTCACTTTAATTCTTGTACACAAGTGATTATCTAATTTATATCTACCTAATCAAGAGTAGCCTTGTTAATTATAGCCGCTCTGTTAGATTAATCGACTTAATTAATTTTATTTGTTGGGGTTAGATCTTTTTTTTTTTTTTGTATTGTATTGAATTGAATTTTGTTTGAAGAAAATGAGTGATATTTATATTATTGTCCATCTTGCAACCACTTGTGATGATTCGACAACATATGTCACTAAAGATTCATCTGAGTTGATTGAATTTGCATGGGAAACTTTGGATACATCGACTTTGGAAACTTTATCCAAAGATTCGATCTTGGTTCGTCCTATTAATACTCCTATTACACCATATTGTTCAAGACTTCACAAGATCTCGTGGGAACATGTCAAGAATGCAGGTTCATTTAAAGATGCCATTGCAAAATTTGATCAATATGTCCAAGATGAAATCATTGGCAAGAAGCAAGAGTTTTCAATTGTTATGTATGATACATCTAAATTGAGAGTTCAGTTATCCCGTGAGGCTAGAGATAAATCCGTGGTTTTACCATCATATTTGCAACATCCAAGAGTATTCGATATTCCTAAGGAATATTGTAATTGGCAATCAACACACGCGGAAGCTTTGTCATACCCCGCAACATCTTTGTCCAATATTATAACTGCTTTGGGACTTGAAATTGAAAACATTTCTGAATACAATGAATTGCCAAATTTTTCTTCGTCAACTCCACCTCCAAGGGCTCTGGTTGACGATTCCAATTCTCAAGGTTTAGATTCTGGACCTAATGGTAAAACTGTGGCTGAATTGTATGCAATGATTGTCAAACAGTTGGTTAAGAAGTCTATGCCTATTGAAGAACATCCTACTGTGTTTACAAAGCCATATGATTCAGGTCAAGATATTACAGTTTTCTCCGCAGAACGTTCGAAGGTACTTTATCTTTCAAACTTGCCTAATGATACTACACAATCTGAGTTGGAATCTTGGTTCACTCAATATGGTGGAAGACCTGGTGGATTTTGGACATTTAAGAATGGCGAAGATTCAAATAATGGTAACAATGGTGCTGGAAAATTAACCCAATCATCTAAAGCAGGAATAGCTGGGTTTGTAGCATTTGGAACCCATGATGAAGCAGCAGATTGTTTAGCTTTGAATGGAAGAGTATTAGGTGACCGTGCCATTGAGGTCCAACCGTCAAGTAGCAAGGTTTTTGATATTGCTATGGATAAGTTATTATTGACACTGTTTCCATTGTCCAAGAATAAGCCAAGACCAGGAGATTGGACATGTCTTTCATGTGGATTCTCTAATTTCCAAAGAAGAACTCATTGTTTTAGATGTTCATTTTCAGCTGTTGCATTCCAGGATCTTTACAATCATTCCAATAATAGCAATTCTAGCAACTTGGGTCGCAGGACATCGAACCAGAATACACCTATTGGTAACCAACAACAACAACAACAACAGCAGCTGCAGCAGCCACAACAACAACAACAACAACAACAACAACAACAGCATGCTCAACCTCAATCATCGCAATTACAACAGCAATCACAACTTGCTGATAAAATGACTTCTGGCGCTGCTAACTTGTCGTATAATGGGTTAAATGATGGATCTTCTGGATTACAAAATTATTCAAATGATTCCAATGTTGGTGGTATAAATACAAACCATCATAATAACAACAACAACAACAACAACAATAGTATTAATACTAACAACAACACTAATAATAACAATAATCTCGGCCGTAATCATTACAACAGCAATGTTCCCTTTAGAGCAGGTGATTGGAAATGTGAAGTTTGTATGTACCACAATTTTGCCAAAAACTTGTGTTGTTTAAAATGTGGTGTAGCTAAACCGATTATGAGCCACCAACAAGCAAATCCAATGCATTCTGTTAACACCACTGCTGCTGCAATTGCGGCAGCTACAGCTAGTGGTCAACCATTGAATTTGAATAGCAATGCGTTTATTGGACTCCAGCAATCCCAAATGCAGCATCATTATAATCAACAACGTGGCAACAATAATAACAACAATATTTCTGGAGGTCACAATTACAATAACAACAATAATAGCAATAGTTCTAATAACCAAAAGAATCAATACTACAATAGTACTAGTTTGCGTTCAGGACTTTCACAACAGAGTTCAGTCATGACACAACAAGCATTGATGTATTCACAGCAACAACAACAACAACAACAACAAGGAGGAATGGGACCAAATAATTCTGGTTCATTACAACAAAAATATTCAGGTAGTCAGAATTCACCTAATTTATATTCAATGTATTCTAATTCCGGTCATAAATCAGTTGGAAATTATTCCAATAATGAACCTATAACTGGTCCTGTTGTTTTAAAGAATTCTAACCATCAATCCCCTGGTATGAATGGACAATCATTCAATTCTTTGAATAACCAAATGAATTCATTAAACTTGAATTGAACAAATTGGTTCATGGTTGATGAGATTCATCTACACATATAATTCCTTTTTTTTTTTATTTGTTTTATAATTATTTTGTTTGATTTTTGTTTAATTATTGTTGGATTATATTTTTTATTATTATTATTCATATATTTGATTTATTTATTTATAAATATCCATACTATAGTGTGTGTATGGGGGGAAGGAACAGTTTCATGGTGAGGAGATAGAAGGAATTGGGAAGAGTAAGATATACCGGTTAGTTACACACCATTATACATGTGATTTCTTAATTAAATAAGAATATTTTAAATGGAGTGTCTCTGAAGTGTATAGTGTGTTGGAAATATCATGTATTTAAGTAATCGTTTTCTACTAATAAGGTACCTGGTAGCGATCTCGGACATGTAAAAAGTGTGCACGCGTGCGTGCTTCAAATGCCACGTAGGATAAGTTTTTCCCTTCGTGTGGTGAAAATTCCAAACAACACGCAAAACAAGTGAAAAAATAAAAAAAAAAAAAAAATTAGCAAAAACAAAATTGACAACACGTAGATTATTTATCTCTAATCAATATTCATTCATTCAACTAATCAATTACAAGATGACTAACAACAAATATTCTGTCATATTACCAACTTATAATGAAAAGAGAAACTTGCCAATTTTAATCTATTTATTGAACAAAACATTCACTGCTAATAAATTAGATTGGGAAGTTATTATTGTTGATGATAATTCACCAGATGGTACCCAAGAAGTTGCCAAAAAATTGATTGATATTTTTGGATCTGAACATATTCAATTAAGACCAAGAGCAGGTAAATTAGGTTTAGGTACTGCCTATGTTCATGGATTACAATTTGTTACTGGTAATTTTGTTATAATTATGGATGCTGATTTCAGTCATCATCCAGAAGCTATACCTGAATTTATTGCTAAACAAAAAACTGAAGATTTTGATATTGTTACTGGTACAAGATATGCTGGTGATGGTGGTGTTTATGGTTGGGATTTTAAAAGAAAATTGATTTCTAGAGGTGCCAACTTTTTAGCTAGTGTTGTTTTAAGACCAAATGTTAGTGATTTGACTGGTTCTTTCAGATTATATAAAACTGAAGTTTTAAGAAAAATTATTGATGTTACTCAATCTAAAGGTTATGTTTTCCAAATGGAAATGATGGTTAGAGCTAAAGCCATGGGCTTCACTGTTGGAGAAGTACCAATTAGTTTTGTTGATAGATTATATGGTGAATCCAAATTAGGTGGTGATGAAATTGTTCAATATGGTAAAGGTGTATGGACTTTATTTACTAGTGTATAGGTAAGAATAGTTGTCTTATTCAATTGAAATTGCGCATTTTGTTTCGTTGTATTGTTTAAACCAGACTATGGAGGGGAGTAAAACACGTCCAAGTTCGAGCCAAAAAAATGAAAAAGGTCTTGCACCAAAATGATGGAAAAATGGAAAACAAAAAAAAAAAGAAGTAAAAATTCTGCAACAATATTTTACAGTTCAATAATAATACCAATCAAGTCATGGCTAAAGATACATATTTGAAAAAGATTCTTGGTGAAGAATGTTTTAATAGAATTCGTTCTACTAAAGTTGTTATGATTGGAGCAGGGGGTATTGGTTGTGAATTGCTCAAAGATTTAGTATTGACCGGATATGGTGAAATTCATATTGTTGATTTAGATACTATTACATTATCCAACTTGAATCGTCAATTTTTATTTCGTCAAAAAGATATTGATAAATCCAAATCACTTACAGTTTCCAAAGCAGTTGAATCATTCAATTATTTAGGAGTTAAATTAGTTCCTCATCATGGGAATGTAATGGATACAAAACAATTCCCAATTGAATTCTGGAGTCAATTTAGTTTTATTTTCAATGCTTTGGACAATTTAGAAGCAAGAAGTTATGTTAATAGAATGGCATTATTTGTCAAGAAACCGTTAATGGAAAGTGGAACTACTGGATATGCTGGACAGATTCAACCAATTTATCCTTATTATAGTGAGTGTTTTGATTGTCAACCTAAAGAAACTCCAAAATCATTCCCTGTATGTACTATTAGATCAACTCCATCACAACCTGTTCATTGTATAACTTGGGCTAAAGAATTTTTGTTTCATCAGTTATTTGATGAAAGTGAATCTAATTCATTTAATGATTCACAGGCCATTGATAATGAAACAGAAGATAATGCTGAGAAAGAGAATTTGGCTAAAGAAGCTAATGAATTGTCTGAGTTGCGTTCTAAAATTCTCAATTCTGATCTGGATGAATTTATTAAGAATTTATTAACCAAGATTTTCAAAGTTGATATTGAAAGATTGCTAGAAATTGAAACGTTGTGGAAAGAGAGAGCTAAACCGGTACCTTTGGATGTGAATCATTACTCTAAAGACTTGGAATTGTTGTTGAAGGATAGCCTGAATGAATCTATCTTGTCAGCTGATACTTCTGTCTGGACAGTTTTGGAAAACATATATGCATTGTATAAATCAGGAGAGTCTATTCAAAACAGATTAAAATCGGGGAAAGAACTGTTTGTTTCATTTGACAAGGATGATGAAGATACAATGATTTTTGTAACAGCAGCTTCAAACTTGAGATCTTCTGTTTTTGGTATTCCTATCAAGTCGAAATTTGACATCAAACAAATTGCAGGTAATATCATCCCGGCTATTGCAACCACTAATGCACTTATTGCAGGTTTCTCCAGTTTAGCAGGGACTGAGTATTACCAATACCAAAATGATGCTAACAGTAACGATTTCACTACTATTGCCGGTAGAACTTCATCTGTATTCATCAGTATAAGGCCAAATAAATACGTCACGGGTGTCAAATTATCTCAACCAGATCCAAAATGTGCAAGTGATTCACTTACGTCAAGGGGAGTTTTGCGTATTTCAAATGATGATTTGACTAGAATTACATTGGGTCAACTTGTGGATAAATTTGAACAAAAGTATGGTTATAACAAAGAAGACATATCAATTCAATTGGGTAAATCAAAATTGATCTACGATGTGGATTTTGATGATCATTTAGATAAACCATTGAATAAAGTGCCTGGTGTTGTCAATGGAGAAACCATTTTAGTTCAAGATGACGACGATCAATTAGAGAATTTACAATTGTATTTAAGCATTGTTGATGAACAATGCGACCTTGAATTACCTGATTTGAAATTACGACCAAAGAAGATATTCAAAGCCCCTGAAGTAACAGGAGAAACAGAGCAAATTGGTATAAAAGAAACAGATGGGGGAGTAATTGTCTTGGACGATGATGATGATGACTCTGATAGTGGGATTATAGAAATCAGTGATAATGATGAAGATGTTGAGCCACCGAGCAAAAAGCAAAAGTTGTAAGTAAGTAGTTGTGTATGTATGTATGTATGTATGTATGTATAATTGTATCGATTACGTGTATCATAGCGTCAGTTCATTTTTGTGTGTGTGTGATTGGAATTACTTCCCGACGTAGATGGGGCCGGTATCCCCCCGGTCGGTGTGGACCCAGCTTGTAACAGAATTTAGTCGACATGTTGACATTTTTTTGTTCTTTGTTATGCGGCCCATGCCATTCATTCCTTACACGCACTTTTTTGTTGTTCCTGTTGTTGTTGTCCCTTGTGGAAAATGTGTGAGTTTCGTTTATTTTCTCTTTCGCTTCCTCTTTTTTTTTTTCATTCAAGTTTGCCTTCCTTTCTTCTTATATTCAATTCATTCAATTGATACATTTTATACAAACCCTCCCCAAACTACTCATTCGTTAATATGTCTTGGCAAGCTTACACTGATAACTTAATTGCTGGCGGTAAAGTTGACAAAGCCGCTTTATATTCTAGAGCTGGTGATTCCTTGTGGGCTCAATCTGGATCTTTTCAATTACAACCAGCTGAAATCACTGAAATTGCCAAAGGTTTCGATAGTGCCGAAGGTTTACAAACCAGTGGTTTACATGTTCAAGGTCAAAAATACTTCTTATTAAGAGCTGATGATAGATCTATTTATGGTAAACATGAAGCCGAAGGTGTTGTTTGTGTTCGAACCAAACAAGCCATTTTGGTTGCTCATTATCCTAGTGGTGTCCAACCTGGTGAAGCCACTACAATTGTCGAAAAATTGGCCGATTACTTGATCAGTGTTGGTTATTAGATGTTCAATCAAGGTTTAGTAATTTGTCATTTGAGTGTCGTTTCTTTTCTTTTTGGTTTGACTTTTGTCGAGTTGGAGATAATGAAAGAAACGGCTTAGCATTTATCATACCCTAATTTTTTTTATAAATATCGTACCTTGGTTATTTGAGTTTGAATTGACACAATGTAATCACGATAATTGGGTAATACGATTTCATTTTTATTAATTTTTTTATTATTATTACTAGTTGATGTTCTTTTTTGTGGGTATTTAGTTTATAACTTTAGAGTTATGTATTCCTTTCAATACAGTACAAGAAATAAATAAAAAATTATTCTAGTTTACAACAGATCTTACTCTACTCTCTCTGACATTGTAGATATTCTGTATTTCATCATAAATGTGTAATGTTGGGCTAACAGTAGTCAAACACACCCGCCTATTGCCCAGAAAGAGCAATTCAAGAAATGTGGGACTTAATTTAGTTGAGATCATTCAACAGCAAAAAAAAAATTACTTCCCCTGTGATGCCCCCTTTTTTTTAAGCAAATAATTCCCACATTTCAGTGAAAAAGGTATATATCACTAGCACAATACCACTGTTCAGGATTATAATCCTTGATCTTATTCATCTTGTTTATAACTCATTAAGTAGTTTAAATCCAAACTAAAAATCTCTAGATTATACCTCCCTCCATACAAACAGTCCATCCTACGACATACCCCGAATCGCATAAGTCACCCCATACAATAACTCATTATTATAACTAATCATTCATTCATCATGACTACTAAACTCTTTCCAAGTAATAGTTTATTGTTATTAGGTCCTATATTTTTGATCACCACTGATTTTGTAATAACAAGATTTTCCCAAACGGGTGGACCTAAAAAATTGGCAAATAATACCAAACAACATGCATCAAACTCTATAATGAGTTCATCATATAATACACGAGTTCATAGATTGGGCTGGATTCAAAATCAGGTGGAAAATGAATCATCATGGTCTTCATCAAACTCAAAATAATTAATTTTGCATAAAAGTATTATAAAATCATGCTGGACATTATTAACGAAAATTCAACGTATAAACAAAAGAGGTACATTTCCTCAACGTCATTGTCATTCATTCATTCATTCATTTCATTTCATTCGTTTTTCTTTTAATGGTGTTGTTTTTAAAATAAGTAAATTTACCAATAGGTTTTAATATAGACTGTTTGTTGAATACATTGTTTCTTGTACAGATACCATTTGTTTAATGTAGCACTATCCCTCTGTTATTGAACTCCATCGAAGTGGTATTTTTCATCATGACTAACACACAGAAGTACACATCTAGCAGCTGTCAGTATTTCAACTCCACATTGGTTGCAACCTCCTTACTTAAAATTCATCACGTGCCACAAAAGTGGAAATTTTTTGATTTTTTTGTCTTTTCCTGCATGTAGTCGCTTGTATTCGCGAAATATTTCATTGGTCGAAAATCAAAAAGAAAGTAGAACCAATAGAAGAGAAAAAAAAAAAAAGAAAAAGGGAATAATCAATCCAACTTCATAACAAATTAACCAACCTTTCTTTCAACTTTATCTATTCCTATTTTATTTATTGATCACATATCATAATGTTTTCAACAATTAGACAACAAACAAGAGCTTCACGTCGCTCGATAGAACACACTATTAAAAGATTCAATTCCTCACATCATCATCATCATCATCATCATCATGAACCAGAGTCCAAACCCGTAGAAATAACATTTGCCAAAGTATTTGGTGTTGCTGCATTAGCAGGTGGATTTTTAGTTTATAAGAATAAAGATTCTACTGAGAAACCATTATTTGCTTCTAAATATTTTGATGAAATTACTACTGGCGAACGTAGTCATTTAAGAGATGAACTGTATGATAGAAAATACAAAGTTGGATTCCTTAAAACATTCGATAGAGATAATAGTGGATTAGGTGAACAATTGAAGAAAACTGGTAGTGTTTATGAATTACCGAATTACAATTTAATTCCAGCCCATTCTCCATTCGGATACCAATTTGGTGCTGGGATTAGAACTCAAGAATTAGGACCAAGAAGAGAAAGAGAAAGACGTTTTTAAGTCAATTGAAGTCAAAGGTGTATATTCTATTTTTGATAAATACAGCGTATATTTAATACTAATATCAGGTTACAGAACTATAGAGTTAAGCATTGAGTGTATTAGCCCCGGGGTTATGACCACTTATTTCTAATAAACGTTTGCATAGTAGTAGTCTTAGCATGAATTGTGTAGTGTCAGTTGCTAAATCAACTCTGAACATGGTAATTTTGAATGGTTTCTATAAAAATCATCTACACTGTCGTATATTTTCTCCAACTCCTTTAATATTATTTTTTTACATCAATTTCCTCGCAAAATTTGGATCCAAAAAAAAGAGAAA